CTAGTCTCGTGGGCTCGGAGATGTGATAGTAGAGAATCCCTTAAACATAAGATGTTCTTTAGTTGATTTCATATTAACTACTTTAGACCAAAGGAGAAAATCTTCTCCTTTTTTACTAATTAGTGAGTATTTAGAGAAATGAGGGATAATTACTTCAAGTAATTCCTCATTTTTAGTTACTCTATATACACATCTATTTAAATGAGGTCTAGTAAAGACAGACCCTACCCCAAAAAAAGATTTAATAGAATATAAGATATTTACATCTTTAAGATGTAAATTAATTTCAAATGAAGTTCGTACTCTCCATTTTGATGGTTCTGTAATTTCAATAATTACAGAAAAACATCCTTCAGCATCTGTAAATCCAGTAACCCATTGAGGATGTAAAGTATAAGTTGGATTATTTTTGATTAATCTTTTCATATTTTATTTATAATTATTCGCTTCTTAAATAGAGAACCCAAGAATATCTTCTTGGCATTAATTTGGTAAGACAAATTAATTGGGTATGGCAAAAGAATTTTTGCCATACTTATATAATAAAATTATTTTAAGAATAAAATCTAATGATTAGGTTGAATTTAATACTGTTATATAAATAAGTTTAATTTGGGCCGGGTTTTTCTGTATCCCGAGAATAGTCTAAATTATTAAGGCTGGACTCTATCTTTATCGTTATTTTAATTAAACGATATTTCACTTGTAGTCTCTGAGGAATCTACTAATATCTTTTTTTAGTTTCCTGCTGATTGTTCATTGTTACATCCTAATCATTGTAACCATTTAGGTAGATTAGGTTTTAGAAGATTCCAGCATATAGTGAAATCCAAATTATTTAATAAATAATAGGGGCCTATTTGACCATTCCAAGATACTATATTTTATAAAAAATATTTGGACTGTCTCTTTTTCTACTTGTCTAGATTGTTGGTAGCTTCCCACCGTTCCTCAAACCTTAAAAAATTTTTTCCCAAAGGCGAATCAATTGGTGCTGAAAGAGCCCCAATTGACGATAAATAATAGAAATGTTTTGCCATACCAAATTTCTTGTTTTCAGCAGAAACACAACTATTCCAGTGAAAATAGTTATTAATAATATCGATAATTTCACTTTTTTTAGAGATTGTCCATTTGAAAGCCGTTTTATCTTTATTAGCAGAATAAACTTTACCTCCATATACAGATTCTATGAGATCTAATAAATATCGACTTTTTTGAGAAACAGTAATAAAAACTTGCATTGATTTTTTGTTATAGTAAATACTACCATCTGTATCAAATAACCCTGAAAGATATGCACTAGAATATAAAAGTTCTACTGGTTGTAAAAAATCTACATTATAGATTTTACAAAGTTTTTCAAGCTGTGCTAATCTTACAGGATTAATAATTAAACTATTCACATCACTAATTACTTGTAGAATACCCGCCTTATGGTGTAGTCGGTAACGAATAGCTTTAGCGTGTGAAGTTGCTTTGACAGAACCTCCATATCGTTGTTTAATTTTATATAAACAAGCAATATCTCGAGGTTCCATAACAATAGAAAGTTCTACATATCCCTTTTTAGATACATAGAAATTCCCATCTCCATCAATGATTCCCGCAATCCATTGACGATCCTTAAGATCAGAATCGTCTTTCTCTAAAGTTAAACAAGCAGAAAACATACATACAGTCTCTGAGGTTCCTACTTGCATGCTTGGATCAATCAGTAAATGAATGAGAGATCAACTGTGCGTTGGTTACCTGCGGATTAAAAAGTACTGAGTGGATTATTACTAGAATAATTAATGCTTTAATTAATCACATTAATTGAATATTCTTAGTACCAAACAGAATAACCTTTCCTTCCTGCATATAGTATGTTGCGATATAGTAATATCGAGAAATAATATTACTACAAGGGCCATCTTGACCAAAAATTGGTTTACCACAGAAAGTAGATACTACATGACTAATAATTCCGAATCCAGGAATAATTAAAATATATACCTCTGGATGACCAAAGAATCCACTCCTTCATATCTTAAAATTTTTCACCTTATTTAAGATACATGTATCATCTCTACCTCAGTGTCCCCTCTTTTGAGTTTAACTTTGGTTTCATTGATGACCTTGTGCCAAATAATTATTTGGGAAGGAACCGACTGTACATTAAGCACCATTTCAGGCACCCATCAGTGACCCAGTCTGTAGCGATTACTTAGATAACCGACGGTCTGACTTTAGGAAGTTTTGACCGTTTTCATTAGTGTCGCCAAACAAATTATAAAAATTATTTGTTTACAATGCCGGTAAGGACTGACTGATTATATATAATTTTCTTCTAAGAGTTATTATTATATAGTATTAATCAGGACTAGAGTTATGATATACTTATTCATAATAATATTTGTTGTTTCAAGTCTTTAATTTGGTATTACTCTTTAATAATTAATACGGAATACCAGCCGTATAATCAGAGACACTTGCTTTAACAACTTCATGACTTGCGTCAAACCATACTCTTTATTCCTGTTATTTTATTACTTACTTTATTGTTTAATTTATTTATTGTTTAATTTATTTACTTTTTCGTCTTGTATTATTTACTTTAGATGCCATATTAATTAATTTAATTATTAATTCAGGAACCAAGATGATCTTTATTCATAATATGTTTATGAACTTCTTTCCAAAGAATATAACTTGTTAATTTTTTAGTTTTAAGAGGATAATTATCAAAATAATCATATACATTATAGCAATTTTTTGCACCACTAACAATATACGAATAAGTTGATTTTTTTGCATGAGCTTCAATAGTTCCTGTTTGAAATAATAAGATTAAATGGCTTAAAATAGGTACATTACTATCTCCTTTTTGAGTCACTAAATATCTTAATCTAAAAGCATTTGAATTAGATAAAAAAGATACAGTAAAACAACCTTCTGAATCAGTAAACCCAGTTAACCAATTATTTGATAAACTAGGTAAAATACTCGATTTAATAGGTTTAATAGGATCTAATAAAATCTGACCTTTGACAGCTTTGTCATTATATAATTTAAGAAATTCTTTAAAACTCTGTTGTTTACTTGGAAGAACAATATTACCATTGAATAAAGAATTAATAAATTCTAATCCTTTTTTATCTTGAACAATATATCTTGAAGTTCGTTTACCTTGTTTAACTACTCTTCCAAATCCTAATTGATCTTGAATATATTTAAGAATATTTTCATCTTCTGTGGATTGAGTAATAACAAATGATAATTCATTTCTATTATTAATAACAAATGAACCATCTCCTTCAGAGAATCCAATTAACCAAGTAAGAAATTCATTTTTCGGTAATGTTCTTGAGTCATAAAAATATTTATTATATTTTTCTGTAAATAAAGTAAAATCAAATGTTTCATTTGTATTTTCTACATCTGAAACTAAAGTATTAAATTGTTTTTTATTAGTAAAAACACTAGAAGTAATAAATGGTGTTAAGAATAAATGTTGGTATAGTAATGGGTCACCACCTCCTGCTGGCTCGTAGAACGAAGTATTAAAGTTTCGATCTGTTAATAACATTGTAATTCCCTATTTTATTATATTAAATTTAGTTTAAATTAATATAATATATCTTGATTTACTGGTCATAGGACCCATGGCTCAGATTATTATAATAATCTGACCTCAAAACAAATGTAATTTGTTAAGGTAAATACTCATACACTCACGTGTATGTTGGGACTATATCTTATTAATCTAAGTTGTAAAAATTCTGTAAATGATCCCAAGTAAAAATAGTTCTTTTGTCATTCATACAAGATTTCATTTCAATAATATTATCAATATTTTCTTTATGATTAAACTTACCATGTTTAAAATAATCTAAAATTTTAACCCAGTCTCTATAGTCTAGAAATTTAGTACCGAACAAAGGAAATTGATCAAGATAATTTTCTAACACCAAATTTCCTTTTAAATTCGTAGTTCTTACTCTATATTCGGGTTTAGGTTTATCTTCTCTGATAGACTTAACCGTAGTAAGTAAGAATTCTGCAAAAACATTCATAAGTAATAATTTATCTTCTGAATTATGATCTTTTTGACCTTGAGTTAATTCAAATTTACATTCCGGGAGCTTTAGAATATTTAGGAGAAACAGTAGTTCTTACAGAAAAATGTCCATCTGCTTCAATAAATCCAGATAACCAAGCATTTGAATCTAATGGACTAATATCAAGAGGTTTATTAATCATATTAAGATTCTTAAACTTTAGATTTAGACAATCAATTAGCTTATGGAATGCTTTGATTTTAGGAGTTCGCATATTACCATTAAGTAATGTAGCGACTAATTAATAATCCTTCATAATTGTTGATAGTTAAGATGTAAGCATTTACTCCTTTTTTTCTAGAAAGAGATCCATTTCTTCTTTGTTTTTGAATAACTAAGGCTAATGGTAAATCTTTCAGATGAAAAACAATTTGTACTGAAGGGTAATTAATTCTTCCTTTGGGTGATCTTTCAGCTTTAGGTACAATAATTGTACCATCACCTTCGATCAATCCAGCAAAATAAGAATTAAAATTTGAATTAGTTAAATTATAATTGGTTAAGTTTAAATTAGATTCATCAAAGAATCTTAAGTCTTTATTGACTTTATTGGGTTTTAATTGGGATACAGGTAGAATAGTACAACAGATTAATTTCGGCGTGTAGTCTCTGAAGATCCCCAAAAGATTCAAATCTAATGGGTTTCCTGCTGATTGTGTTTGACATAATGTATAATTATCAAACAGTTCCCAGCAAATAGCCGAATTTAAAGCCGGCAGAATTAGTTTACCGGCTAATACAGGTAAAGATAGAAGTAATAGAACTGCTGTAATTAATACAGCCCATACAAATAGAGGCATTTTATGGAATGACATTCCAGGAGCTCTCATATTAATAATAGTTGTAATGACGCTTATTTATAATATTATTATATATATACCCAATATCTTTCGATAAAGGCCGGACTATATCTTCAGCGTATTCTAAAGTAAGAATACGGTGTGTCAGATGTGTATAAGAGACAGAGT